TACCCATTATTATTATTATTATTATTATGTTCATTTTTGTTGACTGCCGACTAATCAATAAACCTGATTAGGTCGGAACTCTGATTAAAGTTTCAATAATCGATAAGACCTTCTTACCATCTCTATAGATCATAACAGAAGGGGCAAACACAGGTTCCACCACTCCAATTAAAGGACAATTCTGAAAAATTGTAAGATAACGGAAACATGTATTTGCAAAAGCCTATAATAAATCTTACTTATTTATCTTTATTTTCTATTTGATATACCCATTTCTATTTGCCTAGCTATCTGGGAGAAAAGAAAAAAATAATTGGGTCACTTTGGATTACTTTATATATTGATATCTTACTTTCGGTTTCGAAGATATTATGATCAACTCAATTTAATGATTTCCTAAACCCATTTCATCAGCATCTAAAACACTCCACTTCATACCCACATCATATAGTTGTCATCCTGGTTCATTCGATTTCCATCGTCATTTAACGACATCTAAAACGATTTCTTCGTTTTAGAATTTCTTTTAGTAATATAATTGATTAGAACCAGTCCATCCAATTCACCATTCTGTTTCTTAGATAGTAAATATTAATGTTAGTAGTTTAAGTAGATTTTTAACATCTAGAGTTAAGTATGAGAATCGTTAAACTTATATGTAATTTTAAGTGGTCAAATATCATTTAATATGGAATGGAAACCTCTCCAGCCGTCCTGCAACTCTATGTCTTAGTCATACCAAGTCTTCAGAGTGAGAACTTCACCTTGTTGATGAAGGGTTCAATTTACCTAATTAATCTTCCAAACTTAGATGAATAAGTTCATCAACACCGATCTTCTTCTTGAATCGCATGGAGGAGTTCCGAATCATCAACAATTTCTGAGGATATAGTTTTTGGTTTCTAGATGGTAAGTTGTTGGTCGTTAGTACCCTCTTCTTCTATGATTATGACCTCTTTTTGTTGAGGTGGCTATGGTCGGACTATCATTTGATTATTCACTTTCTCTAAGAATTCATCAGAATTTGAGGAGTCATGTGCTTAGACTCTAATCTCTTTGATGTTTTTGATGTACTCTGACTAATCGGAAGTAAGAATGGATACCCTGCAGTTATCTTCGTTGTAATATTTGTCTAATAGGTATTCTATGTTTATCTTTATTTTTTCGTTAACTCTTCTAGGTATTCTCGTCGCCCATCTTGATTCGAGCTATTCAACCAACATTCTGTCATCCTCCTAACCATACCTTCCTCCTTTTCTCTATCATTGTCTATCTTAAGTTTTCTAAGGAAGAGCATTAGCAAGAATCTATCGTTAGGATTTCTTGGTAGATGGTCCTCTTATAGTGCATGCAAAGCGTCCTACTCTCTCGAAAAAAATTGATTGCAAGTGTTGTGCTAGCTTGAGTTGATCCACTTCTAAGATTCTTTGGACTATATCTTCTGGCCATGATATTTCATTAACAAAATAAATAAATATTATAATACCCATTAAAAAGCAGTATTTATTTTCCATTCAAATCACTGTATATTAGATTAGATAAAAAATACATATATTAAAAGATATTTAAAATGAGCAACATTTTGTATAATTTATTTTTATTTGTTATTCCATAATTCTGAGCAAAATATCTGATAAGATTTTGCATAATCTTATATATTCTTATGTAATTACTTAGAAAATGAATAAAATAATTTTTTATTTAAACCCCTGTTGGTTTATAATAATAATACCATTATCAGTTATTGAGATATCGTTTATAGAATTCCATTCAGGTTCTTGTTATCTTTTTTAGGCTTCTCCATTTTCTGCCAGACTAAATTGTATTGTTCTTTCCTGAACAGTTGATAAGATAGTATTCCTTTGTTATTCATGAATAGATTAATTCTTGTTAATCTATTTTCTTTTCTCTTTAGTGTTCTATACAATAGATTATTTTTAAGTAATCTTGAGTGTGTAGGTTTTGAGCCTTTAAACGAGATAATAATAAATCAATCTCTTTTTAGTGATCAATTATCCTTATTAAAAATTTGATTTAAAGTATCACATAGATTATTCATAATTTAAAGTAATTATTTAATCTAAACCACCTAATCTAATCTTTAATTCATAAAGCTTATTCTGTAAATCTTTATTTAATAAAAGCTTACCTCTTATAATTCTGATTAATCGTTCTTTTTAGAAATAAATATTAATTGGCTTCTAATCCTTATATAATCTTTAAAATTCATTCCATTCCTTGTAATTATAATATAATCATGGCACCATTTATATAAGATTCTAATGAATTATTTTGATTTTGTTAAACCATACATGATTTAATACATCAACCAATATCCTATAATCATTACCACTACATAACACTCCAATTTCCAACATTCTAATGGCAGAGTATATTGATATAAAAATTTGCGATTTTAGGAATTCAAAAGATTGATTCAATTAAATCCAAAGAATATAATATTAAAATACTAAAAAAATTTAATTAGTTACTCTGAAAAACTAAATGAAAAGTACTTAAATTTCCTTTTTAAACAATTTTAATAATTTAGAATGATTAATTACAGAAAGAATTTTTAGCTGATGAATCATTAAATTCTGCTTTTATTTCTATGGTATATCTACATAAAACTTTATATTCAATAATAATCAACTATTTATACCTAGAATGATGATCATCTTTACTATCAAGTAGACTTTATTATGAAATTAGTTTAATGAGTGATTAATTAAATCTTAATTTCTTCAATACTGATTACTGATTTCATAGAACTCCTAATATTTGATATTTTAGGTAATTTATATAATAATTCTGAAATTTCTTTCTAGACCATTAGATAAGAACAAAGAAAAATTTGATGTAGGTTCTTTATTGTAAGATTTATGGGCTTTTATTAATTTTAACAATGAGCACAATATGTTAAGAATCTTCAAAAGTATTTTGAGCAAGTATGTATATTTATAATCCTCATAGTTAATGAGATTTCTTATCTGTATAGTTTATCTTTTGGGTGTACATATGAGTGTCTAAAGTATTTCCTTCCTTCCTTAGTTAGATATTTAGCCTTATTATTAATATCGTTGGTGAATCATTATATATATTAAAAATTTGCTTAGAAAATATTATATTAAAATCTAAGAATAAAAGAAATAAAGCAACCTAGATAAATTTAAAGAATAATACAAATTAAAAAGAGAAGTAGAAAATTAAGAAATAATTTGACATAATTAGATCACAAAATGTTGAATTAGTTATTGCCAACTCAAATTTCATTTAGTCTTTGGTCTTAATCCAATTTATGCTTTTTATACAAAAATTTAAATTTGCAATTAGTTTCAATCTATTTTTTTAAAAACATTTTTTCTAATTTTTAAGTGATTATTAGGTATTTCAAAAATAAGATTTTAATTTTCCTTATTAAATTAATATCTAATATTTTATAGCATCTCTCTAAATTTATTGCATTTATTTAAAGTAAATTATTGAATCATCATTCAATAAGCCATTATTGTTAATTTCATCGATTTAAACCAACAATTCTTGTTTAATTGAAGACGTTTAACTTAAATATAAGATATAATTAAAGAAAACATAAACTTAAAACAAATGGAAATAAGGAGGAATAATTAAAGGAACTTGATGGAATTTTAAAAGAAAAAATCAAGATTTGAGTCAAATCAAAATAAAAATTGAAAACAAAAATACAATTATCTATGATATTTTACTATAAGAGAAATTCTATTTAATAGTAAATAAATTAAACAAATAAATTTCAATATTTAAGAATAGGAGAAATTTATACATCTTTTAAATTTTTCTATTATAAGATATATCAATCTATTAAATGAGAGAATTACATATGGGAACGACTGAAAAGTATTGAAAATTTTTGATATAATACAATTATCTGAAGTAAAAAAGAAATTTACTTATATCTTGATTTATTCAAAAATTTATCTTGTTATATTTAAAATAAAATTGAACTTAATTCTTAAAAATACAGAGTATAATGGAATTTGGTTGAGAAAAAAAGAGAATAACCTTTAATTTTCGAGCTCTGTTCGAAGATCAAAATCTTTTCAAATGTTCAATAGTGAAACGAATAATTTTTTATCATATTAATGTATGATTGTACAGTTGGATATAGATTTGTGATAGCATACTCTGCTTATGGAATTATTCTGTTCCTTTTATGTTATAAGTTTTCCCAGAAATTAAGCAAAGTATTTAAATATTAATATAAGTGTAAATTCTAATTGGATTAACTTTTGAAGGTATAAACAGGATGGAAAATGGAATTAAAAATAGGAATGAAATAAATAAAATGAGAAAATAAATTAAATATTTTTTACTTTAAATACTAGTTAATTGGAATGAAAAATTTACTATTATTTTTATGTAAAATTAACAATTAGATAAAGAAAAAAATTTAAATTAAAAATAATAATAGAAACAAAAACAATAACCCTTAATTGATCAGAAGATACCAATGCCACTGAATGAACCTATGAAACCTAAGAAACATTAGAAAAATGAGGAAATCTATTACCGTATGTACACAGGAATGAATGGGTGTGATTTTGAATTCTAAAGCCTATCAGATTCAAAGTTTGATCTAATAAAGAAAACTATAAGAGAGGAAATCAAATGATAGAATTAAGAATTAATATAATTATACAGAATATTATTTACAATATATTTTATTTCTTAAACTCAGTGCATCTTGATCTACAATAAAGAGGAATGAATTATCATTTGGAATTGTAGAAAGATTAATGTGTTTTCTTTAAAATTTAAATCAAATTACTCATAATTAAGAACTAGATAAAATATGAATAATTTTTAAATCAAGAGGAAATAAACAAGATATAATAGAATCTGCATTATTTCAAATTATTAGTTATGAATGGACTGTTACTGTAGATTTGATTTGTAAATAATGTTATTATTATCCATCAGATCAAGATTTCATTGCTTCCATTTTGATTCTTAATTAGAATACCAGGGAGAGTGCAAAAAATGAATCAAGAAGGATATTTACAAATAAAATTGCTGATATCGGATACTAAAAGGTTGAGAATATTTTTTTATAATGAAGATTATTTTTAATATTGTTATAAGGAATTTTGAAATTAATGAGATTATATTGATAATTTATAAAGTTTGAAGATTTAGCTAGATAAAAACAGAGGCAAAACAAAAATTAGTATGTCTTATCGCTGATTGAGATCATAATTTAAATTCATTCTAAATTTCAATTTATATGCAGCAATTTTAATATTTTATAAATAATTTTCTTAATATCTAGCGATCCTTTAGAGCTCCATCCTTATTACAAAAATTTCCATATCAATAATTCTCTAAACTCTATTCATGATTCTACACCAGAATTTAAAACATTTATTAATTCATCTAAACTTATATATTTTTTATGAAGTTATTAATTAATTTTTTAATTCAATCTTAAAGAAAATAATAGAAATTAAATAAATATTAATAAAATGAAATCCTAAAATGAATGTTAACAAAAGACCTTTGATTAAGACAATGAAAAATTAGAGCCATAAGATTTGGAAGTTGAATAATCAGATACCAAGAGAACTTAATAAAATAAAATTAAACTTAAAATGAATATTAATTAAGATAACTAAATCTTATATTATTAGGATGGAGAAGCCATAAGAATGTAATAAATAAATTATAATTAAAAGAGAAGAATTTAGACCCAATCAAATTTAATAAGATGTGTTAAAATATTTGGAGTAGGTAAAATTTCTTTTTTGGCATGGAAAATATGGCCAGAATGGAAAGAAAACTGGTTATTGGTATGCTAGTTGGAATGGTTCTGTATTAAATTCAATTGGTGGATACTATGAGGAAGGATAAAAACATGGAAGATGGAATCAATTATTTAAAAATTATCACAAGTAAATATTTTTTAATCAATGAAGTTCCAACAAAATTTATGAAATTGGAGAATATTGCTATAATCGAAAAATAGGATATTGGAAATATATGTTGAATGATAATTTGATGTAAATTATTATTTCATAATAAGTGGTGGTGGATAATATGATGATAGAGGTCATGAGTTTAAGGTTGGGAAGTGGATTGAATTGGATGATGGATATAATCAATAGAAATAAGTGACGTATGATGGTGAATATAGTAATGGTAAGAAAGTTGGTATTTGGAATATTTGGTTCGATTATAATAGGATTAAAAATAATATGTAATTTTAGATATATAAAATAAAATTTCTAGCGGTGTTGGGGCTTATGATCGTGGAGTTAGAAATGGCTATTGTATTGAACTTAGTGATGGATTTAACTCTTAGTCTTAATTAATCTATTAAGGTGTATATTAAAATGGGAAAAGAGCTGGTAGATGGGATATTAAGTTTATGGATTAATAAATGTAAGTATTTTTATATATTTTAAACTAAAAAACATTCGAAATTAGTGGAGGTGGATTATATGATTAAGAAGGGAATGGAAAAAAAATTGGTTTATGGATTGATTTTAGCGATGGATTTAGATCGGATTCTCAAATAACTTACATTGGAGAATATAAATAAGGGAAAAAAGTTGGTTAATGGGAGATTAAGTAAAATGGGGCAAATGATTATGATGAAGAGGGTTACGATTATATTAATGACACAAATATAACTATGTAAATATTAAATATAAGGACCAAAAAATAGCGGCGGTGGATTATATGAATAAGAAAACGAAGTTAAGAATGGAAAATGGATTGATTTTAGCAATGGATTTGATTATGGTTCTTAAGTAATTTATAATGGGTATTATTTAAATGGGAAAAAAGTTGGTAGATGGGTTATACATTATAAGGATATTTCAATGTACGGAAATTATGAAAAAATGTAATTATAAATAATTATCAAATATCATTCATTTAGTGGTGGTGGATTATATGATTAAGAAGGGCAAGGAGTTAAAATTGGCAACTGGATTGATTTTAGTGATGAGTATAAATGGAATTCGCAAGTAATTTATGTTGGAGAATATAAACATGGAAAAAAAGTTGGTAGATGGGAAATTTAGTTTAGAAAATCGGATGAAAGGGAATTTAAAAAGATGTAATCATTAATATAAAATAATAATAAATCTTTAGTGGTGTTGGATAATATGATGAATTTGGTCAAGAAGTAAAGATTGGTTAATGGATTGATATCGATGGGAACTATAGTGATGATTCATAAGTAACTTATCATGGTGAATATAAAAATGGAAAAAAGGTTGGCAGATGGGATTTTTGGTTTAATAATAATGATCTTGAAAAGGGAAGAAAACATATGTAAATTTATTTATTTATTTATTAAATAATCTGATTTAGTGGTGGCGTTTCTTATGATGAATCAGGTTAAGGAGTTAAAACTGGGCAATGGATTGATATTAGCTAGGATTTTGCAAATTATTTCTAATTAACATAAAATGGTGAATATAAACAAGGTAAAAAAGTTGGTAAATGGGATATTTGGTACAAGGAGGAAACTGATAACTGGGGGGTTTTTGACATGGATCTAGATTTTCAGGATATTGGTTTCAAGAATAATAGAATTAAAAAAGAAAACAAAATAATGTAATTAATCATTAATTTAATTATATAGTGGTGGTGGATAATACGATAAGTAAAATCAAGGATTTAAAGCTGGGTTATGGATTGATCTTGGGGATTAATTCAAAAATATGAATAGGTATTATATAAAGGAGAATATATTAATGGAAAAAAGGTTGGTGTCTGGAAAGTATTGAAGAAAAATTAAAATGAAAACGACGAAGAATTTAAGTTAGAAAAAGAAATTTAATATGATAATTGAATTATTATAAATACAAAAAAGTATAAAATTTAACCTATAGATTGTATTTATCAGATTTTTTATATTTTTTAGATTTAAGAGCTCTAATCATAGTTATAACCTATATAAATTATATTATATATAGATTATTCTCTATACTTAAATATTTCATAATTACTATCGTGGCCTTTATACTTATTTTCATTAAGTTATTACCTAATTTAATTTTGTTTGTTTTGACCATTTAAAGCTTAAAGATTATTATTAGAAGCAAAGATTGGCATTATCTCAGAGAATCTAAAGTATATAAAAACATTAAAAAATTAACTTTACTTTAATATTTTCTTAAATAAAGACTATATTTTTATTTATGCTTTTATGAGTGTACTTAAAAATAAATATTTATTCTTGAGACTTAGAACTTCAATTAGTGAATGAAAATAATATACTTTAAGTGATTAATAAAGTGTAAAATTATTATTTAATAATGAATTTTTAATTTGAGATATGCTTGTAATCATTAGAAAATGTAAGATGATGCAGTAACTTTTCTGTTAATTTAAAATACTCCAAGTATTGATTGAGCTAACCCTCTAATTTGCTTATACTTTTTAAAAAGAAACTTCCATTATTAAAAGCCATCAATCACTAATTGAATACAAAATACTGAGGTCATAAAATAATGCAACCCCATCCAAAATATTATAGAATCTGGTTTGAAAAATATATTAATTCAAAATCACATTTTATTATTGTAATACTCAATAACGTAAAAGAGATGCTATTGTAATTTTTCATTCAACTAAAATTAATTAAAACAAGGACGTACCATAACTTCACTAAATAACTATTTAAAATACTCCAATTAATCCTTTAATGGAATAAAGAAGATGAAAAATAGACCCATAGAGGTCGATAGAAGTGTAATGCTAATAGTTTGAAAATTTGGAAACTCATATAAGAAAATTAATAAAAACTTATAGGTAAGTTTTTTGATTAGAAGTATTGTATTAAGATATTTTGAAAATTGATTTATCTTAATTCCATTAAAAATAGATCCATGTTTAGCTTTGATAGCTTTATTATTCAAAGAATATTTCTTCATCTAGGGTAGTTGTATTACTTAATAGATACTAAAAATATATATTGTACTTGCAAAACAAGCTAATAATGAACTAAATCTTATGAAGAAATTAGATGAGTTAAGTTCTAAGGTATACAATTACAGTACTTTACTAAAAGTAAATCATATGCAGTGGCCATATGAGCATGTAAGATTCCACTATAAAAGAATTCTGAAATAATAGTAAAGCACTCATGATATAATTAATAGTTAAATAGTATACTCCAACTTTTCCAAGCCAAAAATTTTCAGTTTCTGATTGGGAAAAAAAATTAAATTTAAATGAATATAGAATTTTTGGTTTAGCTTATTAATAATCACTTTTTAGTTGTTTCCAATGATTAATACTTTGAGTAATAATTTGTGTGAATTTGCTATATCATCTTTGCAATTGCATAAATGCAGAATAAAGAAATCCAAACTGTAATAATTGTTGCAGCAATAATAATAAATAATGATATTAAGTTATCACCTGCTACTTTCGTGGATATCTTCTTTAATTGTTGTGTATTCAGTATTTGATCAATAATTCCTGATAAATCGAAAATCTTTTAAATTAAATTAAACAATCCTAAAAGTTGAAAGTAGGTTTATAAATTATATGGAAGTTGTGTGTTAATGTATTAAAAATAATATGGTTAAAATAATCATATTTTAGTTAAAAATTTAAAGAGTATCCAAAAAATTAAAAAAGAGTTCAACTCCTCCCGATAACACTGATACCCAAATATTATCCCAATAAAGTGGAGAATATAGGTGTTACTATTGGGTGCTATTTAGACTTGAGCAATTGTGACATCATCAATGTATGTCACTTTTGGTATACTACAAGACACTTCTGTTTCAATCTGGGAGTATCCTTCATTTGAATAAATGACTGAATTATTTAAGAATTTGATCAATAGGATTTCATCTTGTAAACTTCTTGAGCAAGTAATATTAATCATTAAAATTAATTGAGATGAATTAAAATTATTTATCGAAGAAGTATTTTGAGTGAGATTAATAGATTGATCCATTTATTAAACATTTTATTTGCTCCATATATGAAAATATAGATCATCTTTAATTTGAAAATCTTCAGTTATAATGATGAAAATAGTGTATGATAATTTAAATAATCTGGTAGCAGAGTAAATTTATGCAGTTCCTACACTGTAAAATAATGGTTTTGGATAATTTGATATGATACTTAAACCATTTAGTAACATAAACTTATTACTATTTTAGATTAATCGTCACATCCATCATCTTTAACAAGATTTCCATCATCATATTCCTCTTTCTTTACTATAATGTAATCTCCATATATGTTTAAAAATGTTCAAAGGTAATATTTATGATTCTTCTATTGTGGAAACTTACAACTTATACAATTAAAAGCTCAATCAAGTAATTCTAAACAATTCAACAATTAACACAATCATTTTTTATCTAAGAAATATCCAACTTTGCATTTAAGACATGAGGATTTTTTTGTTAAAGGATTCAATTAGCATTATATCCAATTAATTGAACATTAAAAAAAATTGATTACTTTAGTATTTCATTAGAACAAGTGTCGTTAAAGATCAATCTTACAATTAGAACAACCATCTCTATTTACATCATTTTCATCATCACCTTCTTCTCCATAAGTGCATATTTAATCTTTACAATCTTAATATTTACAACTTTCTTAAGATTTCCCCAATTAATCTAAACATGAAATACAAGCACCATCTTAACTTTCAAAATAATTTTAACCACACAAACATATATTATTTACTTAAATACAATGTATTCTTCAATCACAACTCAGACAATTATATTAATTGTCATCACAAGTTAAACAAGATTAAAAATATTAAGAACAATTATTTTTATTCCAGAAGTACCCTGAATTGCAATTACATTGAAAATTCAAATCTAATTATAAATTAGATAACAGAACACATTATTAACATATTGTTTAACTTAAACATGTTTTGCATGGTCTTCACATCTATAACATTATCTCTATTATTCATAGTATCAAACTAAAAGATAGATTTATTATTTGAATTTGAAATTAAAAGTAAGGCATTTTTCAGATAATTCATTACAAGTTAAACAATTTTTATTACATAGTTCACATTTCTAATTCAATAGGTAATATCCATCTAAACATACATCACAACTAAATGAATTGCCACAAATATTACAAGAAGCAATATATGCCTTACATAATCTAGATTCATTAAAAAAGTATTCCTCTTAACAAATTTCACAATTATTTGATTATAACAAACATCACTATGATCAATAAATTTTAAACATTTATTAACATTGGACAAATAGAATCTTTTAATACAATTATTACAATTATTACAATTATATATTCCTTAACAATCTTATTCACAAACTCTTCTTTACATAAACATTTATAACCTATGATTGATTATCTAATTTGGATCCGCACATGTTACAAATTCATTAACAGATTTGATGCATGTAGAACATGGAATTTAACATTTAAGACACAAAACACTTTATTAAAGATATCTAGATTTAAAAATACAACATTTAATGAAAACTAGGATTTGATTTATATCTATGCAGTTGATAAATCCATTAATATTGCATTCATAACATGGTTCTTAAAACTTTGCACATGTAATGAGACTATCAGAATAATAAGTGAATTGCAAACAAATTATGATATGTTATAAAGTTCATAATTAGTATCTAAACATGTTAAGCATCTATTATTAATTATCTCACAAGTTTTACATGGCTATTGAAAAGTTATGCAAAAGTAATTATCTTCAAATATCCATCCAGACTCACATTGACAAGACTCAGCTTATTAATGTATTTGATCTTTACAAGTAACACAATTATTTATTGTAATTGCAAAATCTAAACATGGCAATTAACTTTTGATGCATGTGATACCATCAGTATCTAAAATCCAACATTTTTTACATAAACACAAAAATGAATTATTTACTATTGAATTACTATCAACACAAAATAAACAGTGATTTTCATTCTATACGCAAATTTAACTTAGAATTACACATTCTTAACATGTTTGAGAATCAACTTAAAAATAAACATATGAACATTCACATTTGTATTACATATTCTAACTGATGCAAAAGTAGAGATGCAATCAGAAAAATCATTACCATTATTTTCACACTTTGAGCATGTTGCTTAACAAACTTAACATTGATTTGATCCATCAATATAAAATCATTGCAAACACATTAAAAATTGATAGCAGTTTAATTAATGTCAATTACAAAAATATGAATTGTTGATGCAAGCAGTGCATGGGGATGTGCAAGGAAGAAATTATGAATTTAAAGATCTTTGCCTACCTCACATGATGTACAAGTACTACTAGTACCTAAACATGCCTTACAAGTAGTATCACAAACTGAGCAAATAGCTCCAATAATAAAATAATGATCTACACAAGTTTAACATACAGTATTAGATGTGTAAGTAGCACAGTAAGTAGGGAAGGCTTAAAAATTTGAGCCAGATTTATAAAATTTTGGAAGGAAAGTTGAGCAAGAAAATGCCCTATATACTTGGCAATTTCTTGAACAAGCAGAACATTTGTAAGAGAAATTCCGATAAAATCCTTGAATAAAAGAGTCACAAAAATAAGGAACAGTAAAACTTACACAATTAGAGGAATAATCCAGACATGAGCAATCAATTTCAACTTATCCTTGATCACAACTCCAAATTACTAAATTAGTAGAAGATATATTTACATAGACAATTCATTAAAATAAGATAGACTCTAAACATGTAGTTGGACATTATATACAATAATATTATATATAAAAAATTGATGATATAAAAAGGTTTTTTATTTATTTTTGAGGAATTAATTACAAACTATTAATCATTTTAATTAACTTTGAGAGAAATAAATTAACTGTCACTTGTAGATTTCTACGCTTATAATTTGACTTTTTGTATTTTCAATATAGGTATAAATATTAAACTTATGTGCAGAGAATTTTTTTTATTTCTTACGATTATCATTATCATACTCATAGCACAGACGTGTTAAACTGAACATAATATTAATATCTATTTATAATATACTTATATACTAAAATTCAATCTATCTAGATTATAATCTCTACTATAGATTATGTTGTTAACCTATATAGATGAAAAATTCCATAATCCATTCAGCAGTATAAATATGCCATTCAAAACTAAGTTTTTCTTAAATCCCCCATCAAATTTGGAATAAACTTTTTTATTTCAGAGTTGACAAAAATAAGCTTAATTTTATCAATTTCCCAAAAGTATGGTCTTAGCTAAAAGGTATTATAAATGGCAATAAAGACCACAATAAAGAGCATAATATCACCAAATACTTAGGAATTTTTATAAAATTACACCATTTCAAAAATGTACTTATAGTTCTTTAATCATTTTACTCTAATTTAATGACAATAAAATTTGTCTATTTTCCTTATCAAGTTATAATACTATTTCGGAAATATAAATATTTAAAATTATTGTCAATAATATCTTATTCTGAAACTAGAGAAATTAATGTCTATTATTGATCATTTGATAGAGTCTAAAACTTAAGTATTTGAATATTTTTTAATTTAGAGTATCAAATTTAATAGGAATGAAAAGTTGAAATTTATAACTATCTCAATTCTTAATTTTCTTACCCATTATCAAATTTTAATTAAGATCATTCTCAAAAGGAATCAATTTATGTACTCATTAAACACACATAAATTTTATTTAAAGAGATTTGTTATTAGTAAATATCTTATTATTTAGCAAAAATCAAATTGAATGCATTTTTATCCATTCATATACATTTTATAATTTGTTATCTAATTTATAAATTTTTCAATTCCTTGATATATTGAATCATCAGGATTTGAATCTTCCAATACTTCATAATTAACTCAAATGACTATCTTTATTAATTTATTTATAACTTAAATATCCTTTTGTTTAGCATCTAGAATAACTTATACCTTTATTTTCTTTAAAAAAATTGTTCTTCAACTTTATACATATTTTTTTTATCAATTTAGTTCTTCAAATCATTTAAGTTGTTATAAAATATAATAATTAATATTATTTTAATTAATTAGACATGAAACATTAATTTATGAGTAAAATGATCAATGAACCGAAGTGAATCAATACTTAAAAGCAGGTCTAAAAGAAAGGGATTAGATAGATAATTGATATACTTAAGAAACTCAACAAAAATGTAATAATAGGATATAGAAAAATAAATTTAGCTCTGATCCCAAATCAAAACTGGAATTGTGTTGGTCAATTTTATGAGTATTATCAATAACCCAAACAATATAGAAATATTAATATATATAAAATCAAAAGAATAAATAATTAATAATTCAAGTTTTATCATTATAACGATTTTTCTATTTTCTTAATGAATTAGCGATGAATAAACTTCTTTAATTTCCCACTCCCAAATTTTATGGTAATTACAATTAACTCAAAATCTGAACAAAATCTGGCCTCATCTTTACTTTTTTGATTTTTAGTTTAAAAATTACAGGTAAATAATAGAAAATCAATAATTAAAAAAAAAGTAAATGAATTGCACTCACCATATTCAATTTCCAATAACATCCATATGTATTGCCCCTCACTAATGTTAATGCTAAAGGAAACTTTGCAATGATTGCCAATAGGAACACGGAGTTGATATTAGATACATAATTCCTACTCATAGATTTCAAGATCTGGTTATAAAGTAATTATAAGATTCCAAGATTGATGAAACTTCTGAATTCACAGAATAAAGAAAGAATTTTTTAATGATTCTCTCTCAAACTGAAAGCATGCTGAAAAATACATGGCAAAATTTATAGGAATCAATCAAATAAATATATGATTCAATTAAGATGCAGGATAAATCATATTTGAAAATCATGAACCAAGATTTCAATCCTACAGATTTGTCAAATACTGACTTAGAGAAATTAATATAAATAGTATAAGGAAAAACTTTAGATGAATGGAAAGCTTAGAAGGATTCTTATTTGTAGAAATTATAAAAGGTAAAGGATTGGTGGGAGAAAGAAATTAAGACTTTTCAAGAAAAGTTGATGAAAGAAATGGACGAAAATTTGTCATTAAATTTTTAAGTAAAATAATAACAAAATGAATTGAAATCTCAATCATAATTCAATCTTAAACCATTTTGTTATGAGATAATTTAAGCTAATTCTATTGAATAATAAGAATTTTGTGCTGCAGTTGCTATTAATAAAGATTGTTCAATTGTAGCGGCTGGTTGTAATAAACTAATTAAAATATATGATTTCAAATAAGGAATGTTGAAATAAAATCAAGTTTTAAAAGAACATAAAAGCGAGGTAACCACTTTAAATTTTATGAAATAATCAAATTAATTGATTTCTGGAGATTATGGATCTATTTTGATTTGGTCATAGAATAATAATAATTCATGGATTTGTTCATAAATTATTAAAGGTCATAGTGATTGGATTAAATGCATAATTTTGAATAATAATGAAGATCTTTTTTTATCCAGTAGTAATGATAAAACTATTAAGTTTTGGGTTAAAAAGAATGAATGGATCTGTTAATAAACAATTAACGATCATAATGATTGCGTTTATCAATTAAGTTTAAATGAATAACAAAATCAAGTTATATCTTGTGGATAAGATAGTTTGATATTAGTAATTGAGTAATCATAACCTAATAAAAATTGGATTGTAAAATAAAAAATACAAGTAGATTGTTATGGATTTCGATTATGCTTTATCAATGATAATCTATTCACATTTCAACCTAATAATGGCAATTTGATATATGTTTATGAGTTGAATAGTGTAAGTAAACATTTCATTAAATCAAAAGATATTACTATAAATCAAGGTAATGAAAGTTGTGTATTATTTCAATAATAATTTATTAAAAAAAAATAATTACTCGTGAATAAACATGTAAACTCTATAAATTTAATAAGATTTACAGAAAATTCTTAATTTAAAGTTGAGTAATCTATTCAATTTGGCACAAATGATATATTTGGATAATTAAGTGATGATGGAGAATATTTGATTACTTGGGATTAGTCATCAGATGAAATATAAATGAGAAGATTTAAAGAATAATGAGAAAATTATTATATAAAATATAAATCTAAAAGTTAATATTAACTTATTTATTATTTTTTATCTGAATTTTCTCTTTCGCTAATATTATAATTATAAGTCATAAAACCAATTTGTTTCAACATTAAATATTTCAGAATAAAAGATACTTACTAAAGCAAAAACAATTCATTTGAAAGAAGTATTACTAAAATAGTGCTTATATGGTCATTAAATTTCTCAATTCGTTTTATTTTTTGGTTATATAAATCTCAGATTTATAAATAAAATATTGATTATTATATATTCCTATCTTATTTGTTAGATTTCTTAATTTAGTCTGAATCTAATTAATTCTTAAAAATTAATTGGTATAATATAAACTATTGGAGTAAAAACGTTATCTATTATTAAATGTTCATCTATCAGTAAAATAATATTAACCAATCTTGATCTGTTTATAAGCTTAATACATCCAAGAGGGTAGCTTAGTATTTTACCAGGCTGGGGAATCTGAAAGCCCTTGTTACATGACTGGAAGGCGTAAGAGATAGTTTCTTTGTTTACCCTGATAATTATGTCATTTTAAGTTCAAGTCAACAATAATTAAGAAGTCTGCAACTTTCTAAAGAGTTAAAATCTATGTATAAAATTATGGCTGGGCGACCAAATGATCAGAGTCTTTGATTATAAAATTATGTGGGGATAAGAATTGATGTTGTATTCTAGAACAGAATCCTTGCATATTTTCACAATCTTAAATATTTGAGATGGAATAAGTTATTTTATGGAGACGCAAATAAAAAGTGTATTAAATATTTGATATTCACAGAAATCAAATTATATTCAACTTTTGGATAAATCAATAATAGAAAGCTTATTATTATGTTCTTCCGAAGAATTAATCTTTTTTATTTGATATCCATTTCTTTGTACATTTCACTTGTTTTATTTCATCAATCTTAGGATGTCATTTTATTATATCATTTATGATTTAAACGAAATTTTGAGCAAAATTTAATCATTAGAACTATTAAAAAAAATTTATCCATATTAGTAAATAAAATTAATATATGATTAAAATATTATTATAACTCAAATATAAAATAGATAAACATTTTGATATTTGTAACATAATCTTTTTCATATTTATTAATTCCAGTTTATGCTTGCCTATGTTTCAAGATCTTTAAATCTTCAATAATCATATTTATTAGGTATATATTACAAGGATTACTATAAGTGATATTCTTTTCATTTTTTCAAATACTCCATTTCATTCTATATCATCTTAAGTTTTTATGATTGCAATCACTCATCTTCTCATTCTATTTTTATAAGAATGAATTCTTTAAATAAGCATTGTATAATTATGAGCTCAAAAAAATTCTTGGTTCACTTAAGGTAAAGTTTCAACTTTTTTATGGAATTAATATATAAACAAATAAATTATATATACTAAGGTTTAGCAAAATTCATTTAGATCAGATTCTAACATTTTGTGAAAGTAATTTGTGCTTTGACCTTATCCTTATTCACTAATAGGAAGACACCATAAATAAACATTTGAATATTAGTAACAAAAGAGTAATAGGAAGTAAGCTATAATTTTTAAACTTTATTGGATGGAAAAGTCAGAGAGTTAGGTATGTGAATGTGGAAAGATGATATTAA